TTCTTATGTGGCAGCTGGGTTTTAGCAGAGTGCAAAGCAGTTGACAGGCTTGTTTAATGCCTGGTCTTGGAAGTCCTGGAATATTATTTTTGCCACATTCTATTGGTCAAAGCAGTGACAGGACCAGCTCAGGTTCAAGGGGAAGAAAAATAGACTCTATTTCATGATGAAAGAGATACTGTCGTGACCACCTTTGGAAACATCATCTACCTCACATTGTTTCCTCAACCATAACAAGTCTGTGTGTTTTTGCATTTTGCCTTTAATGGTGATAAACCTTATCAAGTTGGAAAAAGTAAGTCTAAATCTGACTTTAAAAAAATTAAACCCTTATAATTATCATCATACTTTGGTTCTGAATGGGAAGATGCTTTCTTCATGGATTCCTAAGAAACAAGATTGTAGCAATGTCATTTGAGACAAAATATTAGGATGAGCCCCATTTGCCGAAACCTAACATCCAAAGCATGCTCAATTCCATGAGACTGTCCAGTCCACAAGTTATAGCCTTGGTCTACCTCCTGAAAAAAAGTCAAACGGCCACCATATTTTTGGTTATTATTGCTGGGTGTCAGACAATTTCCTGTACTTTGACTTACATCTTTTAAAACCAGTATTATTGGAAATGGACTGACCACAGGATTCTTGTGAGAGTCTTTCAGATACTGCGATGTATACCTGTTGAGGGTTGCTTTATTCCATCCTGTGTCAGAGAACTGCATCTCAGTCCAAGTAGGATCCACATGAGAACAGATATACATCAACATGACTTCCTTGCCTTTAGCAGACACAGCTAATCCATCTGTATACATAGAGTATGGGTTTGGAAAGCATTTTCAAGCCCAGTCTCATTTTCTTCTCACTATAAATAAGTGGGTGAACAGATAGGCTCTGTGTGAATTCCCACAGATTGTATGTATGTAAACAATAGAACAGAGGCCATATGAGAGCTCAGATGCAGAGCCTGGAAAGGCAGTTTCTCCCTTCAGGGTTCTTCTCTTCCGTCCCTGGAGCAGAGGCCCCTCCAGGCTCCCGGCCTCTCTGCTTTTAGGCCTGGTCTGACTCGCCCTCCTCCTGTGAGTTGAATCCCGAGTCTGTGGGCAAGTTCAGTCAGCTCCCGTAGTTAGTTAAAACGGCAAAGCGGGGCCTGGCTCCCTCTCTTAAAAAGGATGTGTGGTGGGCCGGCATCCTCTATATCTGGAACCCACACTTTCTTTCCAAGAAAGCCAAGAAGTGAACCTGCCAGACAGCCACGTCTAGGTTTTACCCCTGCGCTGGCCTGAATGGTCCTGTTGCGGTCTTTAGGCTCCGTCACTCCCCAATGCCCTTAATTTTCCTCTCACAACAAAAAGTGAGTCCCTTGGTGCCCCAAATCCTTGGCCAAAGGGACCGATGGGGTCAGGGATCTTTCTCTCACCCTTCGCGTTCTTCCTCATTCTCCTGCGGGTTCCCATTTCTATTCCCCCAGCCCCTCCTCTCCTGTCGCCCAGTCGCCCCAGTGCCAGGGTCCCCACACCCCACTCTTCCTTCCTTCAGCTCGCCCAACTCTTCTCGCCTCAGCAACCAGCTTTTGTTGCCCGGGCTTGTTTCTAACTTGAGAGTCGCCGGGCTCGGCGCCAGGTCACGTGCGTTGGTGACAACCTCTCGCAGGGCGGCCCCGGGCCCGC